CAATGGGTTTTCTAACGAATTTTATATCATTAATAATTTTCAAGTCTTTAATTTTGAAATTTATTCTTAATTATTTTTTAGAAATGAGCTTATTTTATCAAAATCTCAATTGAATTTGTTAGTTTGTAAAAAATATTTTATAAAAGTTACAATTTAAGCCATTTGTAATTTCACAATTATCATTCATTATTTATATTCTGAAATTATACAATAAAAAACCACACGACGTAACTGCAAAGTTAAATTTACATTTGAATTGAGTTGGCAATTTACCCAGAAAAAATTTTTTTTTTCTTTTAAAATGAAGCTATGTCATTTAAATTTTTTTTTTGTAATAATTGAGACAATAAAGAAAATTTAAAAATATTCAAATTACTTGCTTGCATAAATTTTTTAAATTTGTTCCATGAATTGTGGTATATGTTCAATTGTCTCGTAAAACTAAACGAAAAATTCTGCAAAACTCCTGACTGATATTTGTAATTTGACAGCTATTGTCGAGAGTTTTTAATACCAGCAAAGTGTTCACTAATCTTTTTTATATATGGTAAGCATATTTACTAATTTAATCTTAATTACCCACTCACATCAGAAATATACATTTATATTTTCCACAGAAAAATTTCTCTCAGTTTAAGTTTTGATGCTTTGTATTCAAAAATAGTTTACTAAGATACTTTGAATAACAATAACAAAAAAAAGTTAGATATTTTATTTAAAGTTATTTAGCGTTGCTGGTATGACTTGTTCCTGTTGTGGGTATGACATTTATTTTAAATCACACCCGCTACATCATTTTAAATTGAATGCAAATGTAATTTAAGGAAACTGTTAAGCTAATATATGTTCGAATAATATGCTGTTAAATATGTAAATGACATAAGTAACTATACCCTTTGATTGAGTTGTGTGAACCCCATTGTGTGACATTTATTTTAAATCACACCCTCTACATCATTTTACATTGAAAACAAATCTAATTTAAAGAAACTGTTAAGCAAATACTTGTTCGAATAATATGTTGGAAAATATGTAAATAATAATATAGTAACTATACCCTTTGATTTAGTTGTGTGAACCCCAGTTTATAAATCAAAATTAGAGTCATTTGAGCATTGTTTACGATTGTTTCTTAATTCAGTTTGGATTAATAAGTTGTTGTTTCTACAGAAATATATTTTTGTAAATGATGCATGTTAAAGAAAATAAATTAAGAGGTAAATATTGTGTTAAAATTTTTAAAAGAATATTATTATTATTATTATAACTTTTAAGCATTTTTTGCAAGTATTATGTAAAATTGATTTCATGACAACAATCAACTACTCTTTGTTCTAAATAACATAGCAGGGGTGATTGTATTCAGGGTTTTTCGTATCATCTCTCCGGGTCTAGAACCTAGGAGCCGGGCATGTGATTTTTTCGCAGTATTCCGCGTATCTCAAAACCATTGATTCGCGGTATTCCGCAATTCCAAACTTATCCGACGAATTTTTCACCGCAATCTAAAATTCAATGTAAAAATTAAGTTCTGTGCAATCTAAAATTATAATAACAATACACAATGTATAATGAATTATTGAAAGTAAATGAAATTGCTTGTAGTTCCTCAACACATGATTTCGCATAATTAAGGATAAGTTTACGTTATTTTAGTTTTTCGTCGCAAGACTGTTCAAAGATTCCGACTATCAAAGAAACTATGAAAATTGAAAGCATAATATTCTATTGAAATATTCTAAATTTCCAGAATACTTCAAGCGATGTATGGCTGAAGCATTAACCGTGAATATACGAATTTTTCGCAACTTAACTCTTTCCGTTGAAAACTGTTTTTTCAGCTGGGAGCGATTTTTTTTTTAAAACTGAAGGGAGATCTTCAATAAATATCTCTACCGATTCCTATTAAGGATATACCCCATGAATTTTTTTTAACCAAATTACCAAGATTACTGATCATGTAGTTACCTTTTGAGTAAAAAAATGTTTTCCTTTAATCAAAAAAACCTAACTTATACTAATTATAGTGAGATATTGTTTTATTTTTACTAAAAACACACTAATTCCAATTATTTAACAATAAACAACATAATGGAAATTTCAGCCTATGATTCTTGATCTACGTACTCATTTATTAGGTAAGAAAAGACTTTTTTATTTAATTAAAATGTCTCAAATGATTCCAAACAATTAATTAACGATAAGCAGCATGATAATTTTTTTCATTTTATTTTTATTTTTATTAAATCTTGAAATTCTGAATGATGACTTTTAATTGTATTTCCCTTTAATTAAGTTATTAAATAAATAAAAAACACTCTCTCCACTTCGCCTTTTTTGTTTGATGCTGCCATCTGTTCAAAAATGTATTAACTAAAATTGCCAATGGTCAGATTAATATTGTTTTCTGAACTATCCAATCAGTAAAGAAAAATAAATATCATGAAGATTAAGTGAAACCATATAGTTGTTAATTATTTGATTTTGCAAAAAGTAAAAATTACGTAAACAAACTTATTCTCTTTTCCAATTTAAATAATTCGTTTTAGATATTAATTCTGGCGAAAAATTTTTTTTTATTATTTTATAAGATTTATTCATTTATAAAATACATAAAATACACATAATAACATAAAATACATGTTTATTTAATTATTTTAAATAAATAGTTTAAATTAACATTAGTAAGAACAGAAAAGCTAAGCACTTGAACAGAGATAATAGTTTTCTTAAGATTCGATTAAAATTTTATTACCTTTAATAACTTTGTTAAAAAAAGAGACTTAAAGGAGTTCTATTACCTTTCGAAAAAATTCCCAAAAATCTTTAAAGTGTTTATTAATACGAGCAATAAAAATTATCTAAATACAGAAAAATCAACACAAAATTATTTTTAAAAAAACGTTTTATTGTTTATTATCTATTTATTACATATATATATATACATATATATATATGGGTAATTCTTTTAAACATGACAATTCGGGCCAAACAATTTCATAAAATTCAAAGTCTTCAAAATAATCTGAAATTTTTTTTGTATACTTCTTTAGTTACACTTATTCATATCTTACAGACAGCTGTGTAGTTTATTGACATTTGCTCGAGAAAAAAAATAAAATAGAAATTCACCAAATCTTGAATGCCAGGAAAATGACATATTAGCTTAGAAGTTTAAAAAA